GGTTTTCCTTACCTGAGAAGCCCACATCAAAATCCACCTATGGTTAGAGCTACTGGGCAACTCTCAACAAATCAGTCTATAAATGTATCTTTCAATAAACATGGTCCCCTTTCTGCTGAGAAAGGTGAGTCTATCAGAGGACCTGGAAGTGGTCAATCTACACAGCCTTCTGTGCCCGAATGGGCTGGTGATGTTAATAAACCTACTATCTCTGCAGGTATATCTCAGTTAAGTAACGCCAATGATCCCCATGAAAGGCTCTTTGCAAATCAAGTTTCATCTAAGGAGCCAGGGTCAGTTTCTCAGCCTTATTCAATGTCTGGCATCGCTCAACAGGGTGCATCTTCAAAAATGTTCGCTAATATGTGGACAAATTTTCCATCACGGCAGCCCCTTTTTGGTGCTCAATCCAGCAAGGAGTCTTCTCAAATTCACCAGTCGCATCAATTGAGTATTATGGAGTCATCATTGTCTGCTGCTGAGAGGCAAGGTGATCAAGATGCAAATGAGGAATGGAAGTTCACATCTGAGCTTGATACAAGCACAGTGAATATTTTGGGCTCTGTTGAGGGGGAAGAACAGCGAGTGAAGGAAAGCCCTTCTCGAAAAGTGCCATTTCAAAACATTGAACCAGTTCAGATGAATGATTCACAAGATAGAGAACTTGTTGTCAAGAATCTCTCAGAAGGATCCCCTGCAAATTCTGCATCGATGCAGAGAGATATTGAAGCTTTTGGTCGATCTCTGAAACCAAATAACTTCCCTCATCAAAATTATTCCTTGCTAAACCAAATGCAGGCCATGAAAAATGTGGAGACTGATCTAAGTGATAGGGCCTTGAAAAGAATGAGGCTATCAGACAGCAATACAGGTCTTCAGCAAATTCCTTCCACTGAATCTAGAATTTTAAGCTTCTCTGAGCAGGAATTACAAAGAAGCTTATCATCACAACAAGGAGGAAAGATGCCTCCTCAGGATATTAATGCATATCGTCAAGATGATGCTCAGAGCAGATCTCACAACAATAGCACAAATCCATTTAAGCCTGAGCATACTCAGATTAGTCCTCAGATGGCACCGTCCTGGTTTAATCAGTATGGAACCTTCAAAAATGCGCAGATGTTACAGATGTATGAAGCACACAGAGCTGCCTCCATGAAGGCAACTGATCAACCTTTCACACTTGGAAAGTCTTCCAATGGTTTGCAGACACTTAATTCTATGCAGAAAGTAATACCTGCAGATGCTGATAGAAGTCCGATTGGTAATCTTGGGCCAAGTTCAGCTGCTAGCTCTGCTGCCATTGAAGATTTTTCTTCTCCACAGACGTTGCCATTGAATGTTGGTCAGCATAACCAATTGTTGAAACCCAAGAAGCGGAAACGTGTTACATCTGAACTTATTCCTTGGTACAAAGAAGTTTTACTGGATTCACAGAGCAATCAGACAATTAGGTTCATATTTTGCACAACTTTTATTAAACTCCTTTGCTTGCATACTGCTTTGCTGCTTTCTCAATGCTTTCTGCTATTCCATTTTGTTTTCATTTGGATTGTCTTAGTTCCAGCTTCAGGTTTGATGATATTTGTTAACTTGTCTATCTGCAGCTTGGCAGAGACAGAGTGGGCCAAATCAACTAATAGGCTTGTTGAAAAGGTATCTTGATTGCCTATTGTAATCCACTTTTTAAAATTTTGCTTGCTTCATCAGTTCTGAATGCCCATGTTCTTTTAATAACAGGTTGAAGAAGACATTGGCTTCACTGAAGATGGGCCTCTGAGGCGTAAAGTTAAAAGAAGGCTTATTTTGACCACTCAGCTTATGCAGCAATTATTTCGCGCTCCATCAGCTGCATTTCTTTTTTCAGATGCTAACTCAGAGTATGAGAGTGTGGCTTACTCTGTTTCTAGATTGGCATTGCGGGATGCATGCAACGTTGTCTCTTGCTCAAATGGGGATTCCAATGCACCTCATTTTTGCAAAGCACCGTAAGTTTGCTAGTTGTTGCATGAGATGTTTCAATCAGGTGTACAACTTTGTCTCTCTGTGCCCTAATAGCTTGTTTTATGTATTTTCATAGGCTTCATGAAAAGGCCAGAACACCAGAGAGAAATGATAACCATACGTTTGCCAAAGCTGTAGAAGAGTTCACGGCAAGAGCAAGGATACTGGAGGCTGACTTTTCGAGGTAATGCTTCATGATTGGCTTACACCATTACAATATACGAGTTTGTAGAATTGTNACACACACACCAAAAAAAAAACAAAAAAAAAAGTCCCATGAAAATAGAGATGCCTTGCCTTGTGGTAGTTGAATAGGTTAATTTTTCTGCTATAATCAATATTGGAAAAGATAGGTTCAGGTTTTCTAATAGACAATGACTTGCGTTATACAAGATTATCAGATCTTTGGTTGCTTTGGGGTATTCCAGCATGTTTGTTCTCTTCTCTTTCTGGATTATTATCTTGAGCTACATATCTTCTGCAAAGAAATGTCTCATTTTCTTACGACTTGTCCTAGTACTATGAGTATTTTAGAATGTAGCCTGCCAAGTTGCAGAGAAACTACATTTAATGCTAAATTTTAGTCATGGAACTGCAGACTTCAGTTCTGTGATCAACCAAATGTGGTTTTATTGGAAACTCGGGGGCATTGTTTGGATTCTTATATGGTCTTTTTGCTTCTGTTAGCACATTTTGGAATATTTGATGCTAAAGGTCTTTAATCACCATTCCCACTCTGAAAATACAAGGATAGAAGTGCTAAAGCCGAGTAAATGATCCAAAGAAAAGCAAGTAGTAATTGATTTATTTCAGAAAAATTCAACACTGTTATAGTCTTTAACAGCTGCTCCATAATGGTTTTCTGCTAATTCCTCGGCGTCCATTTCATTTCTTACGTGTTACAGTTGTGTTTAGAATCTATCTTCTTTACTAAATCAGTTTATACCTGACAATATACAAGGTAATTCCACATAATATCTCTTTTATTCGTTCTTCTCTGATGCAGACTGGACAAGAGAGCATCAATACTAGACGTGATAGTGGAAGGCCAGGATATTGAAAAGTTCTCTGTCATCTATCGGTTTGCGAAGTTCCATGGTCGGGTGCAATCTGATGGTGTTGAGTCCTCATCTTCATCAGATGCACGTAGCCATAAACCTTTGGCACAGAGATATGTCACTGCACTTCCAATGCCAAAAAATCTTCCTAGTATGGTACAATGTCTTTCACTATGATCACAGATGAATTGATTTCCCCCATGTTCTGGTGGTAAATCTACTAGCTCTACTTCTCTAAGAAGTTATGGTGCTAAATATGCACTGGCACTAGCAACAACAGAAATTGATGGACACTGAATTGTCACCTCAAATGTAATGTAGGCTGTCCAATCTTTTACATGTTGACCACTTATGTCTTATCAAGAAATATGATTCATTTTGTGTACATCTCTTCAAATTTGTAGGGAGGGAGAGAAAGGACCTAGGGGCTTCATTTTTTTCCATCAGTAGAGAAAATATATTAGGAGGTGTTTGTATATAGTTAGTCATCAGTGTTATATGTGTTACACTTTCTCTCACGAATTTGTGAAGGTAATCATAATTGCTTTAGTCAGGTCGGGGATAATTCAGACATCTTGCGGTAAATATCATGCCCAGGCTTTTCCTGAACTCCGAATCATTTGGAGATTTACTAGAAATTTTAGCTGGGAGCTGTCTTGAGAATTTGATCAGCTGTCTCGTGAAATGGACATTCTTAGTACAGCTTCGTTATAATTAGCTCTCTTGTACAGACCTTGTGAGTTACAACAACTTGGGATTTGGCTCAATCTTGGCTTCCTGTTATTGATGTGATGTTAGAGTGTAAATGTAGAAAGATGTTAGCTTGCGAGTTAAATACCCCATCTTCTGATATAGGAGTTACATCTCATAATCTGCTTGGTGAAGCAATTATCCGACTTGTCAAATTGACAATTTGAAATCCAAGATAAAACTTAATCATTGATGACATATCTCTCTGTAAGCCTCCTGTTGTACCTTTGTGTATCTTTCTTTTACTCAGTTGTAATGTTTTCCTGCCAACTAGTTGTGCTAAATCTCTACACCAAGCGAAAGCTGAAAGAAATGGAAATTCATATGGATTATTCTGCCACTTGGAAAGAAGAAGCCTTACCTTCTCTGCTCAAGAAAACAGGAATTATAGAACTGCTAGTCTCTGTATATTTGCTTTCAATTCACAGATTTTGAAGTGCGTTATTTTGTCAAAAGCTTATATAATCATATAGATAGCATCATCTTGTCTGGTTTTCCCTTCCGATAGTTGCTTCAACAAGCAAATGCAGTAATCAGCAATCACTATCCTTCTCCCCCACCCCCAAGTTAATTGCCTCTTTAATTGCCTGGAAGATGGGAATAACACTGCAAGTTGATCTTCTTTGACTGCTCTAGACCCAAATCATATTGACATGTTTACTTAGAATTGAGATGAAAGATGTTTGGTATGGAGATAATTATTTTTGAGAATTTTTCATAAAGCACCATCTTTTAGGTCTAATTAGCCATTTATAGATACCCTTTGCTATATTACGTGTTATAGATATCTTTTATGTTTTTATACAATGTATTTCATGTATTTGAGATGTTGTATTCATTAATACAACCAAAAAAAATAGGCGTAAAAACAGGAATTCCAGCTAAATCTGATATGTATTTAACTGTATTTAAGCGGCTTTAACGTGAAATACAGTAACGTATCTGCGCAGAATCTGGACGGTTAAACTTGTTAAAAACGGAAGGAAATCAAATCACATGATATTCTCCTAAATTAACTCAACGAACTAAAACTAGTACACATTAATCTGTATTTTGCTCAAAGACAGCATCTCAGAAATGTGAATACAGCGAAAAAACAAAGCAACATCTGATCGAACTTCTTCCATTCTTTTTTTTTTCGATTGATACAAAATTATATACAAAATAAGGTATTCATCCTCTATACATATGGCAAGTTTAACAGTTTTGCGTCATTCTGGCAAGTGGAACGATGAGGGCAATTGCATCGATTTTTCAATTGAGGGAATACTGATAAAGGAGTATGCCTCCTTTAATGATCTGGTTGTTTCAATTTCAAATCAATTGGGTATCGATTTGAGCTCCAAGACCATTAAAATACAATACAAAGTAGAAGGAAATTGCACACCAATGGAAATACATAATGATATGGGTTACAGAGTTTATGTAGAATTGAAAAAAGAGAACAAAGAATTTGGGATGTATCCTTTGTGCATAACAACTATCGAAAAAGATCTTATATCCGGAGGTAGTTTAAATCAAGGCGACATTGTGCAAATAGACGAAGGAGTTCAAAGGTACGATTCCGATACAGATGATACACTGGCTCTAGATTTTGTCAATTCAAGAGAAGCGATTGGAGTGTTCGAACTCCACAAGGATTTGATAATTTCAAAAACTAATCAAAAGGAGGTTATGGCTGGACAAGTTTATAAGGATAAGGCTACATTGAAAGAGGTGATGGAGAATTATGCTATAGCTCAAAGGTTTCAATTCCGGGTTGATAGGTCTAATGCTGTCAGGTTTGCATGTATTTAAATTTTTTTTCCGTTGTATTTTCGATTATTTGTTCGAGCTGTAAGTTTAACGTCGTTGTATTTATGCGTATTTGTGTATTTCATCTAGATGATCACAGATGAAGTAAACATATGTTTGTTTAGGGCATTTAAATACATGTATTCATATGTATTTTACTAGTATAAATACACAACAATGGCTCTAATTATTTTCTTATTATGTCTACTGTGGTATTAAGTGTATGCATATACAAACAAGTGTATTCAGTTGTATTCATTGTATTCAAATACATATAACTATAACAGAATTCAGTAGTATAAAAATTTATATATATAGATGTCAGAATGTATCTATGTCAGATTATATTTGTCTGTATATGAGCTGCATTTTTTGTAAACACTTATGCTAATCAAATGTAAAATAATTAATTCTTTGCAGCTATGCATTATTACGCATTTCAGAAGATTGTGAATGGAGGTTTAAGGCTTCAAGTATTAACAAATCAGAACTATTCAAAGTGAGAGAATTCAATGATAACCATACATGTCCGCTGAAGGACAAGGTGTATGAGCAGCGGCAGGCTAGTAGCAGCCTTATAGGTGGTATGATAAGGCCTAAGCTTACAAACCATAAGAGGAAATACACTCCAAGGGATATTATTGATGATGTGAAATCAGATTTAGGTGTAGATGTTAGCTACATGTTGGCGTGGAGGGCTAAAGAAAAGGTAATGAATTTTCTGAGAGGTGAACCGGCTGATTCATACAAAAAATTACCAGGATACTTATATACATTGGATATGACATATCCAGGTTCCCACATAAGAATGGTAAAATCGCCAAAAAATGAATTCATGTACGTGTATATATCCTTGAATGCCTTTATAAGGGGGTTTGATCATTGTAGACCCATTGTTGTTGTGGATGGAAATCACCTAAAATCTTACTACACCAGGACATTCGTTTCGGCAAGCACGTTGGATGGTGCAGGTGAGTATCTGAATTATAATACAATCTGTTAATATTTTTAAATATTGAAATACANTTATATACAATGGATATGACATATCCAGGTTCCCACATAAGAATGGTAAAATCGCCAAAAAATGAATTCATGTACGTGTATATATCCTTGTATGCCTTTATAAGGGGGTTTAATCATTGTAGACCCATTGTTGTTGTGGATGGAAGTCACCTAAAATCTTACTACACCGGGACATTCGTTTCGGCAAGCACGTTGGATGGTGCAGGTGAGTATCTGAATTATAATACAATCTGTTAATATTTTTAAATATTGAAATACATTTTTTAAAAATAATTATACTCAATTGTATTTACAAGTCATATATTGCCACTAGCATATGGTGTTATTGATTCAGAGAACGATGTTGCTTGGACGTGGTTCTTTGAGCAATTCAAGATAGCATACGATGAAAGGGAAAACATGTGCATCGTTTCAGATAGAAATGAGAGTATCATTAAATCTGTATCGAGAGTGTATCCAGATATACCGCATTTTTCTTGTATATGGCATCTATGGAACAACATATATAAGAAATTCAAAAAGAGCCATGCCAAGTTGAGCGAGATATACTTCTCTATGGCAAAAGCATACACACAAGCTGAATTTGACAATCTGATGGAGAAGGTGGAGAAGGCAGATATTAGGGTGAAAGAATACTTAGAGTTAGCTGGTTACGAAAAGTGGACTAGGTTGTATGCACCTGTTAACAGGGGATGGACAATGACGTCAAATATTGCTGAGTCAATCAATGCCGCACTAGTTTCAGCAAGGGAATTGCCAATATACGACTTCCTCGAAAAAGTTAGGAAGATGTTTGGACGTTGGAATTGTAGTAACCGCAAAGAAGCTACACAGACATACACGACGCTTGGAAAAAAATACCAGGAGATGCTGACTTTGAATGAGGAAATGTCTACACGTATGACTGTAAGTTATATTTTAACGTCATTGTTGTATATAGCTTAATTGTTACTGAATTAATGACATGAATCCAACGGAATACAATGATTTTTTAAGTAGAACTACCATTAATACAAATGAATACAACTATATTCAAACTCATAAAAGATATATTTTTCCGTAAATCTGATATGAATAGAACTGAATATAACTAAAAGCATGCTGTAAAAACTATTGGAATACATCAGAATATAACTAACAAAGCTGTATTATATGTAATTTTAATATGTATTGTCAATACGTATGATTCTAATGCTTTTGTTAGAATCCTGTTGCCTTAAGTACAACAGATTAAAACAGTTGATTAATTGAATACAACTGAATACAGTTGAATACATCTTGAATACAAATGCAGTTGAATATATCTGACTACAACTGATTAAAATAGTTGAATTTAATTGAAATTAGTTGAATACAGCTGAATAAAGATGTTGAATAAAGCTGAATATAACAATTGAATACAACTAACTATAGCTGATTAATACAGTTCAATTCAAATGCTTCTAAAGTATGATTCTAATGTTTTTGTTAGCATCCTGTTGCCTAAAGTACAACAGAATTCTGATAAGTTCTGCACTAATAGCAGTTGGTATTGTGCTGGTCTAAATATTTGATGTATTCATCTATATGCAAAAATTTCAGTTGTATGTAACTTATTAATTCAGCATTATATATTTGGTAATTCAGATATATGTGCTCAAAACTTATATTTCTATTTTTAAATATAGGTGGTACCATCAACTGAATACTTACATACAGTTAACGATGGTGGGAGGAATTACACAGTCTGCCTGTTAGAGAGAAAATGTGTTTGTGGGAGGTTCCAAGTTGATGAATTGCCATGCCCACATACTTGGTCTGTATTGAAGAGCAAGTTTCTAATGCCAGAAGAATATTGCTCTAACTATTACAAACCAAATACAATTGTAATGACATATGATTTGCAAGTGTACCCTCTACCGGACAGAAATGACTGGAATATACCAGAACATGTTACAGAGGAGGTTGTACTACCACCCAAATGGAAAAGACCTCTTGGAAGGCCAAAGAAGAAGCGCGATAAAACATTAAGTGAATTGCTGCAACCGAAAAATCAACATTCATGTAGCATATGTGGGCAGGTAGGACATAACAAGCGAACGTGTAGAAATGCTCCACGTAATAAATAGTTAACACTTTGACATGTATTAGTGCTTCAACGATTTGTCAATACTTATGTTAACATTGTCAAGTAATAAATTCTCATTGCCAAGTAATATATTCTGAAATGACTTTCGTGAATAGTTTCTGAATACATATATTTGAAATATTTTTATACGGATAAATACATATGCACTATACAATTGAGTATAACTCAGTATGGATGAATACTAAAAAATACAACTGGATATAGCTGAAGTATTTTTATGAATAATACAGTTGAGTAGCACTGAATGTAAATGAATACATCAAAATACAATTGAATACAACTGAATAATACACTTAAATACAACTAACTACTGCTGAATAAAACAAGTTGAATACAACTGATTACGTAAAACCTGTTTAATACATCTGAAATTGTGTTCTTTAATATGTGTTATCTGAACTTGGAAGATACATCTAAATGGATGCTGCTGAATACAACTGAACTTGACAGTTAAATACAACTGAATACAACTGAACTTGACAGTTAAATACAACTGAATACAACTGAATCCAGAAGAAAATACATCTGAATTCTTTTATATAGCCTACCATCAGCATACATAAAGTTTCTGACTTTGACATTAACATGTTCATTAACTAAAACGTGTTCAAGCAAAGTTGCTTGGTATTAACACATACGTGAATCCTGTAAGATAAATATGTATCCAAACTGAAGAATAAGCATGAATACTTATGAACAAATCAGTGAAACAATGATTGAAAAGTTGCAATTGTCATACACGAACACTGTTGATAAAGTGATAAGTTTTTCAAACTAAATACCATTTACACCAAAAACTACTCAAAATAGTATTCATCTTGAAACTACACTCCAAAACTACAATAACCTAAAGCTACTCTAACACTATCTGCATCCTTGAATCTGACTCCGTGATTTGCCTAGCAATTTTTGAAGGTGCTTCATTCTCGCTTATGGCATCAGCGTCTATCTTTCGCATAGCATAGTCCCAGAGGAGAGCACCATATCTTTGACGAAGTAGAGAGGAATCAAATGTTATTTGTGGAATCTCTCCAAGAGTGCTCAGAAACTCTGCGTATGCTGCAACATGCACCCCACAATCCCTAAAAATAATTGATTAAAATAATTAAAAATAATGCGTACAATTAGATTTGTATATAACATACAATAATGATTGTAGACGTGTGATTTTTGACCCTCCCCGAGAATTTTCACATTTTTAGCGTAAATATTTAATTTAGACCTAATATAGCTATTTCAACTATTTTTGATTTCTTTACTTTATTTTCGTCACAAATATGAAAAATTACAAAAAAAAAGGATATATAAATTTTAGTTCATGTATTTCTCATAAACTCTAAAAATACAAAAATAGTACTTTATATTTTTATCTCTATATAAAAATGAAAATTACAAAAAATAATTTCATTAATATTTTGTAGTCTTTTTAATCCTTAAAATACAAAAATAGTACTTTATATTTTTATCTCTATATAAAAACGAAAATTACAAAAAATAATTTCATTAATATTTTGTAGTCTTTTTAATCCTTAAAAATACAAAAATAGTACTTTATATTTTTATCTCTATATAAAAACGAAAATTACAAAAAAAAATAGTTTCATTAATGTTTTGTAGTCATTTTAATCTTGAAAAATATCCAAAAATAGTTTTGTTTTAATTATCACTCTCAGTTTAATAGTTATTTTGTTTACGTGGGACTAATTAAATAGGATCGTGTTTTTATTCTCGGTTGCGGGGAAAGAATAACATTTGGATTCAAAAGATCCATTTTTAGGCCTAATTTTCGGACCTAGCCCAAAACATTTTCAGTCGAGACACACATGAAAACACACGCTAACACATGCCAACACATGCTAACACATGCCAACACATGCTAACACATGCCAGCACATGAACACACACACTCTCTACACTTTACAACTCACACTCCACAAACACACAAAAAACAACACACAAAAGGGATGAAAAGCAAAAAAAAGTGACAGCCATGTCTCCATTTTTGGCCACCCCAAAAAGATCCATAAAATCCCCTCAAATCCATCACCAAATGGAGAAAAAAAGAGGATAGAAAGTTAGCCTATAGAGCTAAAAAGACGGCGGTATACACTCTGTATACACTTGATATACAGTAAATATACATAGGATATACACGATATACATTCTGCATACAAGGAATATACAACGGCAGAAAGAACTAAAAATGGCGTAGACCCCCTCATTCTTGAGAATTCTCTGCCACACAAACACTCATAAATATGGAGAACAATCTCACACCATAAGACTGGAGAGCTATATCCATTTTTTACTTTGATTAGATTTTACTTCAAGAGAAAGAAAAATCGAAACAAAACCGGAGTTGCAATGAGATGCTCTTGTTTGGCCAAGAGGTTCCGATCCCGTTCGTAGTCCGATCCGCGATTCCGAGTATATTGCTCGTTGTTTCTGTTGTTGCTGTTTCGTTGATTTTCCATTCAGTTTCTCATTTCTGTTGCTTACTTGTACCTCCGAACAAAGGCTAAATATAAAGAAAGCTTCTTTTAAGGTCGGTTTCTTCCTTATCCTTTATGTTATTGTTTTAATTATTTGTGAAGATTTGGTTTATACTTTCATGGAATATATCATGTTTACTTTGCTTTTTTCTTGTTATTTGGGTTTAATTGCTCGTGTTTGCAATGTCCTCATAGATTGATATTGAATTACTTTTGAGTATTGTTGTTAGAATGATTTTGTTGTTGGGTATTTCTTGTTTGGGATTGATAACAAAGTTGACTGTAATTAAAGCTTTGATGACATAGGCCATGAGGGAATAATCTGATTTGAGGCCTGATTTAAAGATTGCAATATATAGTTTAACATGGTACAATCCGACTCATTTATCAATTAGGATATTGCTTTTATTATTAGAGATAAGAGGTAGAGTAGAAATCGTAGTCACTTTAGGATCGGCCTTTAATAAAATGAGACGAGCCTCGCCAAATAAAATGCATAAATTGCGAGGTNGATGACTTGGGACACCAAAAGCCAAACCTATCCCAAGTGGCGACTCTGAAATAAATAAACAAATTCCATTTCGAATATTATCACTTAAATTGGAAAAACTACCTTGTGCGTTTATCCCTCGGGGTGGGCGCGCCAAAAGGAGGTGTGATAGCTCTGGCGACTCCGTTGGGGAACGAACCCAGAACGTTTTGTTCAGGGTTCAGAATTCGAGCTTATAATAATTGTTATATCTGGCTTTGTTTATTATCTGATTTTATTACATGTTTGGGCTTAATGTGCTAAATATTGCTTTTACCGCTTTGATATTATCTGAACTGTATATATAAACTTCTACGAAAATCCCTCTCTTCTCTCTCTTGAGGAGTGCACGCTGGTCGTGACTTCTTTCTGTTAGTGTCCTATCCCAAAATAGAACGAGGATTCGGAGGAGTTGCAAAACTGGATGATCTTTTGGTTACCGGTACGCAGTTCCCATCCTCGGCTCGAGTTGTCCGCTCGGGTAAGCCAGGTCTAGAACAAACACCCAGGATAAACCTAGTATAACAAAACCTCATGCCGGATCCCTAGTAGGAACAATTATTTGCATCATGTGTATTTGACTTAGGGGACTCAACACAAGGGTTGGGTCCGTCTCGGACAAGCAACCTGAAATGAAAAGACCCTCCTGCTGCATCCTGTGTGTCTTATGCATTTATTTGCCGCAGACTTGCATGCTGACCGGTTTCTGAAAAAAAAAGAAGAGAAATAGCGGTTAGGGAGTTAATTGTTTATTTTTGAAAAACCCAATGCCCAAATACTGTCGAAACTCTGCCGAAATTTTGAGAAAATGAAAAAAAAAAAGTTTTATTAGTTTGTTTTACTAAAAGCAAAGGAAAAATAGAGAAAAAAAAGAGTCGTTGTTCTGTCTTGTTTTCAAAAATAGAAAAAGAAAATAGTTTGTCTTGCCATGAAAAATAAAAATGAAAAAGAGTCTTATTTTTAAAATAGTTTTTTATTTGTTTATGAAAATGCCAAAAATGAAAATGAAAAGAGTCGTGCTTTAAAAGTGGTTTTGTTATTTGCTGCCAAAAATGAAAATAAAAAAAAAGTCTTGTTTTAAAATAGTTCAGTTAATTTGCCCGAACTAAGCATGGTTTGATTCTCACAGGGCGTGAGATACGTAGGCAACCCTCATCGGGTCCAACCTCCCCTTTTGCTAAAATAGCCAAAAAATATGTCAAATTTTAATTTCATCATAAAGAAGTCGGGTGACGCTGTTTTGTCAAAACATAGCCGAATGTTCCCGAAAGGGACGCCGGAAGGCTGACTTTGCATAAACAACCACCTTTGGGTCATTTTTTTAGATTTGGTCCAGTTGACCCACACAACCTTAAAAATCTTCGTCCCCGAGGCGCTGAAAGGCCGTGTTTGCAATATTGAGTTTTCTATTTTGAAAAATAAGAAAAGGTCATAAATATGTCGGGTGACGCTGTTTTGTCAAAACATAGCTGAATGTTCCCGAAAGGGACGCCGGAAGGGTGACTTTGCATAAACAGCCACCTTTGGGTCATTTTTTTTAGATTTTGATCGATTGACCCACACAACCTTAAAATCTTCGTCCTCGAGGTGCTGAAAGGCCGTGTTTGCAATACTAGGTCTTTTATTTTAATTTAAAAGAAAAAAAAATAAGAAGAAAAATTGTCAGTGGGCAAGTGAATGCCGCTTGGATGTGTTGGTCAAAATAAGTCGAGCCAGCTTCGGCAATGTATTAAACCGTTCTTGCCGAGATAGCATTAGAATATCTTTCAGTTGTTGAAAGGCTATTTTCGTAAAAGAACGGACAAGTTTGTAAAAGTGTCATAAAACAGATCCTCCCCGGTCTCAAAATTCATGAAAAATTGGGCAGGGGCCACGTCTGCAAAAAACAACCATTTGGTTGAAAGTGGCAAATAGGGGAAAGAATCTGTCAGTCTGTTTTTTAATTTCTTTTCATTAGAG